TGTACGAGGGCATGGTTAAAACCATCTTGTATCCTTTCATGGCTGCCATGAATGCCATACTGATACCCATATTTCCAGATGTGGGCTCTATCAAAGTAGTCTAACATTAAATCAAAAGAACTCAAGATTAAGCTGTGACTTTGGTATAAAAAAAAGATTTCGAAGAGAAATATATCTGCTAATAAGCCACTAATTCAATTCGGCTAACCTTTCCCGGACTAATCAAGTTTTTCTTTTCTGCATCAGTGATCATGGCCAATGCTGGTCTGGTAGCAGAAAATAACAAACACCATTCTCATTTATTCCTAACAACGTACCTAATTAAAACACCATTCTCACAATATAAGATATATATATATATATACCTGTCTTTGATGCTTGCAGTTGGTTGCATCATTTCTTGCTTGACAGCAATATAAGCTCCACATCCCTCAGTGACTTTGTTGAGAAACACAAGCGGCGTTTTTCCAATGAGCTGAAATATGAAAATCAAAGAACTAAGGTCAAATTATTTGAGTATAAATAAGATCTGACCTTCTTCGCACAATTTAATCTGTTATCAGATCAAGTTTTAATCCAGGTACCCGGTTTCTATCAACATTATTTTCAACACAATCTTGATAGTCCTGTTCTTCATATGATTTGGGTCCAACAAGGTTTGTGCCCTTAAGAATATCGATTAGAATATGAAACAATACATTTGTTTATCTTCAGAGAAAAGTCAACTAAATTAGATCAAGATTAGGAAAGTATTAAGATCCAACTATGTTTTAGTATTTCTCCATTAAAAAAAGAGAAGAAATTGATCCCAATCAAAGTTGAAGCATAATATTATAAAAGATCTGGATTTGACCAGCACGATCAGAATCTTTCATCTGAGCAGTCTAAGATTCTATCAAGTTCAAATCGATTACTAAACAAGTCAACCAAGACTGTATATATTAACTCAAAATGATCCAAGTAGCTGATTAGAAAAAGGATATATTATCAGATAATGGCATGCTAACAAACTTTACCTAAAAGAATTGCTCAGACTTATCCTTGAAATCCTTTTTCAACTATTAAGGACTTATTTCTTTGAACTAATATGATGATTCAAAAGTATTACATGCACGTCATCCAATGATTGACCAGATTTGACCCATGATATCTCTCAAAAATTTCCCCCTTTTTTCTCAAATTTTCATCTGGGAAATGAAGAGAACCCAGAAGATAGTAAACCCCAATGAACATAAACTAGACCAGAACAGAAAAA